GTGTGTGTGTGTGTGTGTGTGTGTGTGTGTGTGTGTGTGTGTGTGTGTGTTAATCTTCATGCTGGAACAGGTTTCATTCAATTCAAGTCTGAATCAAAGCGGAGCAGGTTGTTTACACGTAGGGATCATGTTTTATCTTTTTTAGTACAAAGTTTATGAGCTGGAGCTGTAAAACAAGGCATTATTTTTAAAAAAGGCAATATTATGTGTTTGTAGTGTTTCGGTCGGTGGTAAAGATGCAGACAAACAGCTGATTCTGGATCCAGACTCATCAGGATCTAGTTCCTAGCATGATGTAAGCAAAATCTACTGTGGCCAAAAGACTATTGATCACTGCTTTATTTACCCTTTTTTTTTTGGCATTTATTTGATTTACCAGAGAGCTGTAGTTAACAGACAAGGCCGGTAGTTAAAGCAAAAACTATTAATTAGAAACAAAGTGTCCAAACCCGCTTTTGTTGTTTGGAACTGAAGCCATCTGAGGCCTATCGCATGAAACTAGGATATGGGATTAACCCGGGATTTTGGTGTAAGCCTGAATTATTTAAGCCTTGAATCGGTTGCATGAACTACGAAGCACTTATGTTTCTGTGGTAACAAGTGCTCTGAAACTAACCTGGTCCTGACCAGGTTTAAAGGGAAGTTTATTTAATCTGTTAATGTTTTTGAACAGTTGAGTCATTTTACTGCAGAAAACTGTTCCTCTAACCAAGTTTTACAGTCTTATACCAGCTTAAAAGTATTTTTGATCTTGTTTTTAGACCAATATACTAAACAAGATCAGAGGTCTCATTTATAAAGGATTGCGTGGAAACCATACTAAAAGTGAACATACGGCCAAAAGGCGGAAATGGCGTACGCCAAAAAAAAAATTCAGATTTATAAAACCGTGCGTACGCAAGTTTCTGCGCATCTTTCCTTTATAAATCACAGCTGCACGTCAGAGTTTGCGCATGAGGTCCCTCCTCAGGTTCTACCCTCTACACGCCCACACTCAACCATAAGGTCCTCCTCAGGTTCTACCCTCTACACGCCCACGCTCAACCATAAACAGTCAATGTAAAGTACCTCATGAATGTTAAGATGCATTTAAATCAGTCAGCTGATCAATGC